GGAGTATGTCTTCGAGCATTCCCCCTCCCTTCCCTCCCTCTTTCCACTGTTAATTCAGTGTGACAGGTGCCTGTCTCCCCTTCTGTGTGGGAGCTCATAGTTTGCTTTCCAGGATTTGCCAGCCACAGGAGCAGTCTTCCTCTAGGAGCTGGCTGCCAATAGTGGAAGCTCCTAGATATCTCAGGCACCCAACCTCCATTTAATGACGCACTTGTTAACATTCACTTTTAAACAGTAACATGTGCTCCAACGAATCCAGTTGCGCTAAGCTTTCACCAGTGGGTGGTAACAGGACTGTTATTTGCTGTTAATCCACAATACAGATACATGTAGCTTGTTGTTGTTGTCTTTTTTCCAACTTACTGCATGTGAAGAGATTGGCTTGTAAGATCGTATCTCATCTACTGTGCTCAAGTCCTCTGGAACCTTCTTTCCTCGCTGATGGGGAGAAGGGAAAAAATTATAATAATTTTTGGTTAATATATCACTTTAAAAGCAGTGACAAATAATATACAAAAAGAATCAGAGAGCAGACTGAACCAAAGTCATTGTTATAAAGCATTAACTACATGGCTTACCTTCTTTCGTTCTGCAGTCAGGAGAGTTGCTTTGTCTTGCAACTGAAAAATGAGCATTGAAACAAAATTTCTTGTTAATTACTCATTAGCCCTTCTACAATGTTCCCTTGTTTAATCAAGTTATTCACACACTGTACATAAAACACAATAAATTGGCCCATTCTTACCTTCTGCAGAACTTCCTCTGTCATTCCCTCTTCATCACCAGGCTGCAAATTTTCAATTGCAAAAATGAGTAAATATTTTATTTAATATTTATTTTTTTTAGTTAATATTCTTATGTGTAAGTGCATCAAAATGAAATTGCTATAATTGAGAATGTAAATCAAACCACAAAGCACTATAATTTGCAAAATTCAAGGAAGTGCTTTAGTCAGTTCCTTAATGTCTCTTACCTTGGCACCAATTTCCATGGCCTCTTCCATCTACCAGTAGAACGACAAAGTAAATTATAATTTATAAAGATTCATAGGTAAATAATGGCTTAAGGAGTAGAAACAGGCAATAATGGGCATAAAAAGATAATTATTTTGAGTTTTTAAGGGCTTACTGTCAGTGGGTAGCACTAAAGTTTTGAAATGTTTTCTAGCGAATTTAAATTCCCTGTGGCTGTTGTATAGAGAAGTCTGCATGTGTTTGTAACTGTTACCGTGATCTGTTTTCCACTCAAGTGTATTCACATTACAAACATGATCATCCTTGAGAGAAGCTAAGACTGGTTAGATAATTCTTTTTCTCTCTGTTTTATATTGGTTTTAAATGTGAAACAGTATACACAAGGGAGTGGTCTAATCCAAGTCATTCCTCACCTGAACTGGAGCAGCAGAGGGAACAACTGCCATGCCAGCTTGTGGCTTAAGAGTAGCCAGAGCTGAAAACAAAGAGAATGCAATCAATGGAACATTTAGTTTATCTATTCAATTTTTTGTGATTCCTTTCATATTGATCACATCAGGCATTTGAAGCATCAGTAAGAGGTGTGTAAGTACCTTCACGAGCAGCAGTCACTTCCTTTGTAAGACGGGCAATCACACGGCAGGCAGCATCATGCTGATATAAGGCATGAGATAACTCTACAACAGCACAACAAATCATATCAGTGATGAAGGACATCAACCATAGTCAAAAGAATGAGAGACAACAAGAAAGTTAAACTTAAAAACACAGTGAAACCAAGTAACCTTGCCGGGCTGTCTGAAGCTGTTGTCGTAAAGTAAAACTATGCAACATGCAGGCGTCCTGAAAAATAAAATGTGTCTTGTTAGATGTGCGTATTGAAAGATGTGTATGTGTGTACTTCTTTGGAAGGAAATACATGTACATTTCTGTTTGTTACATTTGAGTGACACTTTAGTTCCAGAAAATATCCATACCTTCCCCACGGAAGGGAATTTTTCTAAGTTCCCCCACCCCTCTGGAAATTCCAATTGAGCTTCATACATTTCTTTAAATTTTTTGGTGTTACAGAACCCCCACCCTCCCAGGACATTCCAATCCCTTCTGTGGCGGGAGTATGGATATTTTCTGGAACTGAACAATACATGGATATTCTGAACGAGCAATGTTTCTGTGAGAAGGATCACCACATTATTTATTTTTTCACCTTACAAGGAATTTAGGAAGCAAAATTTGGAGATTTTTACAAAAAGAGCGAACCCATCCCAGTGATCCACTAAAACTAGGTATCAAGATTTTGAAAAATCATAAACAGTCCGTACTTGATTATATGTGAACCTCTCTATATTAGGTAACCCAAGACTTTGTTTTTGTCGCATTTGTTTTGCAAATCCTCTATTGTTTTAGGCAGATCTTCGTTTTATGGATTGAAATCATTGCCTGACAGTTTAGTCAGATGCAAGTGTAATTCACATCCCTCCACATAAATAACTGTATAAATTTGTGAAAAGCAAAATAAATGACAGCAATGGAAATTAAAGATTGTTTGGATTTGTTGCTGACTTTGGTCTGTTTTGTTCTGGAAATTGGTTCTTAATATAATTATTGGTCAATATTCCATGTTATTATGCCAATTTTTAAATCTTTGCTTCAACCTTGAGAACTTTTTAGCAGTATCAGCCTCTTTGATTTCTTTGAAAATACCCATAGAGGGGCTCATATGTTAACTCTGTTGTAACAGAGGTTTGGTATATCACAGTGGCCATTTCCAGTGCTACCGTCTTACCCATTCATCTTGGAGTGCTTTCAAGATTGCTGGAATGCTGGTTGCTGATGGTGGCCTGGGTTTAACCAGTGGGTTCACTGGAATTAAAAATAAACACTAGGTCATTTTCAAAGTGTGGAGGCATGGTGGCCTCATGGGTAGTGCGCTTACCTCACTTACCTTTACCATTTTCAAAGTGACATTAATGTTATTGTTGTCAATGTTTCAGCAGAGTTTTAGACTGAAGCACTGAGGAACATATTCCACAGTGTTTCTTATCCCCTCAGGGTACTACTTGCGTCCATTACTTAAAAGCCCATGTTTATATTTCTAAAATCCCATTTAGAGGGGTACTGTTTAATTTGCAGACATTTTTTAATTCCTATATTATATCCTGAATAAATCAGAAAAGAAAACATGCATCCCATTGGATATTCAACCTCATTATTCCACTATTATGCCATTTTATCATACTGGGTCAAAAGCACATGCAAAAACACGAGCCCTCATTGTACTATGTAATGATTCTGTCATTCACATGTGCCTTGTGAGATCAGTACAATTTTCGGATGATGCAGGTATATTTTCAAAAACCAGAAGCCGAAATACTAGAAAATGACTTATCAGTGAAAGATGAATCCCTTATTTGAAAGTTTAACATGTAATATGTGTTTAAATATTCTGCTCCTCACTCATAGTTTTCCTAGCCCCTTGGGACTCAGAAAAATACCATTCAGCTTATCAAATGTTTGACCATCAAATATGGTGTATGTATTCCTTATTACCACAGTTACTAAATAGCACAGTTATTATCATTATCTATTGTATCTACAACCTATAGTCAGACTATTTAGTTGTTGATATCAAGACGCATATTGAGTTATGAAGAGTAGACAATGCAGAATGCCACTTGCAATTTGGAAACTTACCTTTGATATCAATCAGTTGTTCCTCTGATATCTGTTCACCACTTATTGGATCAGTACCATTTTCAGCGATATACTTTTCAATCAGCCTTCTCTCAAACACACAGTTAGAGGATGGCGAGACACAGGGGTGTTCAGGGACTTCATTGCTGACTACAAATTGAATAACACACAGAACAGCAAGTTATAACTGATTTAACCATAACTGTCAGTGTGATTTATACATAACTGTCTCTTGTATTCTCACAAACAAAATGAACTTTCAGCACAAAAATGTAAATGCTGCCTCATCTGATCCAATACTCCAAAACCATTTTGACTCTGCTGACATTTTCTTGGAATGCACCCTTAATCCACAGATGTACCATTTTGGAACAGCAGAAAGCTAGAGCAGTTTTCAATTGAGTGTCATAAAACCAAAAGCAAACCAATTACTTACCAATTAGACTACTCAACCAATCTCAATCTCAATCTCTCAGTAAAACCAAAACTTAAACCAAAGTGACTGCCTGATTACTTTCAACACTCACTTGAAAACCGCTCTAAGACATCAGCTTATTTTTGAAAATGAGTCGCGAAAACTTAATTCAACTAGTTTTAAGTAATCTAGTAGAGTTGATGAGCATTTCTACATACAAGGCGCTCATATCGACCAATCAAGTATCTAATTACGTCTAGCTAGGCAGCTAATAACCCAGGATTACAGTTACCGGGTCTTTGACAGTGACCACGTTTTGTGTGTACAGCAAAAACACACACAGCACACTAGCTACAATCGCGACAGAAATAGCAATTATAACCATGAATTATAAAGGAATACAGAAAGCAACTATTTTAGTACTCGGGAAGAGAAAAGATATTGCGATCGCGAGGTGCTGAAAAGAGGTTTTCATACGATTATTGAGAGAAACTTACTTGAACAGAAGAGCGCCATTTTGTTTCCTTGCAAGCATGTGCAACAGTGAAGGATCATGGGAGCTGATTTCGTGCCAGTCCTTTCCGTGTTGAAGTGGCGCACGGGTCACCTCGGGATCACCTCGGGTATATACAGGTCATACAGCGAAAAATGCGCTTTTCCTCGTTCATTCGATTTCAGGGTCAATTACTTCAACAGCTAAACACCCAGCTACATGGTCTTGGTATAAACCCAAGAGTTCAAATGATTCTAGAACTCAGTCAAATGTTTTCCGTTTGGGTGAGGGGGTTAATTTTTTGAAGCATCTCTTAGTAGACCAGTGCTGTAAGGGTATTGAATAAGGGATTTCTTTAAATTTACTCAAATTCAATTACACAGATGATCAAAATAAAATAAAAAAAAGAATTAAATATATTTACAAATATAAAGAGGAGATATCTGAGTAATTAGGCCAATTTTGTACATTGATATTTTTTCTGGCCAGTTTCTTGCTACAGGTTTCCCATGTATTTGGAAGACTTAAGGATAGTTTCAACATCGGCAGCTTTGCATAGACAGGGTAGCTTAGTTATTGAGGTATGGCTAAAAAAGAAAGTCAAAGAGTAAATTGGGGGTACCTGTCGCAACTGAGCCATCAATGGGCCGCTTTAGATCACATATCACAATGGAGCTGAACAGAGGTTTGATTGTTTTCACTAGGCCTAATCATGGTTTTTGTTGTGCGAGCATTGCCGGTAAGTTGTTAAGTCGTGCCATTGGATTCCCACACAGACACCATTATCTCTGACCACTTTGGCTACCCGGCAAGATGGCATTGTAACCCGTGGTAAGGCCTACCGCATATTATTCTGTCACAGGATAATTTATTCCTGAAAAGTACCACATGCGGGATACGGTTTTAATTTAAGTCTGACCTACCAACAGGTGGTTTTGAGAAAATGATTGCAGGCTAATAAAAAAAGAAACACTCCTGATCAGCCACCAAACGCACCCATCATGACACAACACGTGCCACAGAAGCGATAACGTCTACTCAATTATAGTTTTTTCCTTAAAGTTCTTTCGAGAAAATTCACCATGCAATCATTTATTTGATAAGGGCAAAGAGAAATAGAGTGTGTGCACCTGACGTCATAAAATTAAGAAAATTCAAATGATTCCCTGGATAGTAGTTTATAAATAACTAAAAGAACAAATGAGCAGGATAACTTCAATTTTTTTTAATACAACTTCAAGAAGGACTGGGTGTCAAAAACACTCATGATTCTTTTGTCAGAGTTGATCACAAACTTACCACAGAATTTAAAACAAAAATTGATTGTATTCTATACCACTATAATATTTATGCTGCAAGTAACTGAGCAGTTTTTATGTACACAACATTTTTTTTCACAATAACTTACTTGACTTCATTCTTGTACAAACACTTAACAATAGTATATTTGAACATAGCTTTTCATTTTAGACACTCTTTTCAGCCTAAAGTACCATCATAAACAGTTTTTTTGCTATCTTTCACACATAACAGAGCAACAACTGTATTAGCATGGAGTTCGAAAAACATTTACAGTCAGTCTGCCCTACTACCAGATGAAATTGTCAAACTTTGATTTAACATCATATATTACTGTACATTATGTTACACTTGATCAAATCTGGAGAACTACTTCATAAAAAACAGATAAGATTATTAGGATTAAAAGCTATACACACTATTTACAGGTAAAGAATGTACATGATCTATTTGTTGGCATAAAATTCTGCTTTTTTAACACACTTTGGTAAAAGCACCATGAACACATTTATTTTATTGTATTTAGTCAGGTCCATTTTGTTGTTGCGATTGCTGCCTGTGTCGCCATCCCTTCTCGGGTGAACTTAGCGGTGAAACAATAATTTTTCCAACATCATCTAGTGCTGGGGGGCCATCTCCTTCAGGGCCTACCGTGTAAATGGTTGTAGGTACCCCCTGAGAGGAATGCCGACTACTCACTTGTACTCTTCCACTGTATGGAGATTTTGGTGATGTAACAAGTCTCTCATTTGTAGATATTGGAGGTAAAGGTTCCGGCGCAGCTCTTACAACAACCTGTGGCTCTGCCCTGTTCCCAGTTCTCAGGAATTCGACGTAATCATCGGGTAATGGTCTTTCCCTTCCAGCAGATCGTTGGTGCCCTTTAGAAATTCCTAGCCCTGGTCTTGAAGGAGATGAAGCTCGCTTTGGACGTGAGGGCATGCCTTTGCTAGACTTAACTGGTGCTACATTCAGTTGAATCTCATTGGGTGAAGCTTGGATTCCCACAGCTCTAGAAGTCTTCATCTTGGTACCTAGTGACTGGGGGACTGGAGATGTTGTTGATCGTCGATAACGTCGCTGTACATTCGAAGGAGTTCCCTCTCTTGGTGGCACAGGTGTTCTGGAAGACACAGCATCTGACATATTTGTGTTTGATGAGACATTTGCACCAGCAGTTGTGCTTTCCAGTTGTGCTTCATGTGATTCAAGAGAGGCTTCTGCGATTCTTTTACCACTTGAAGGCTTACTCTGATGATGTCTTCCAGACTGCTTTATTTTACTATTGTGTAGTTGGGAAGTAAGATATGCTACAGTGTCTGACTTCTTTTCAAGTTCTCTTACTACTGCAGCCAAATTGGCTTCCTTTTCTGATACATCTTTGACATACTTTTGATCCAATGTTTTGAGCTGACCTTCAAGAACAATAATTCTCTTATTCTTCACATCAATGATATGTTTGAGTTCAATGTTCTCAGTTTTTAACTCAGTCAGTATTTTTTGTGACTCATCTAATGACTGCTTCACTTGAGCTGAAAACAAGATAAAAAAAATAATGTCATATAATTTTGAGGCTGCTTACATGAACAGGTTGACAAAACAATGAGGCTTGGTTTACATTGCCGTATTGTAACAGTTTTAAGCCAAGCTTTAAAAAGGTTGACATTGCACCAAAGGAGTACCTACAATCAGGGACAAAATTGTTGAGACATTTTAAGAAAGCAAAATATGCTTTCTAACAAAGAAACATACTTCCTTTAATGAAAAAAGAATTTTGTCAATAGCATGGCCAACTACCCTATCCTCCAATCAACGCTGAAACTGGCTTTGACCAGACCATCATATGGCTACAGCATTCGACAGGGAGGAGGGAAACAAATATAAGGAGTGGAAATAGGACAAACCATGAAAAATGTTTGTTTTTAGGCAGTGTATCAACTACTTTTGTCTCTGATTGTAAGAAGTGATACATGTCTTATCACTCTTCTCAATCAACTTTTATCTTCTTGCGAGGAAAAACGACCCAATTTTCTTTTATTTCTATAGTAACAAGGGCCAGGGGAAGAATTCTTTCATCAGCTATAATGGTGGTACAAATTCTAGTAAATTAAAACAAGAAACGGACATTTCCCATGAAAATATAATCAAATTATGTAAAAAAAATGTATTTTATGAGCCAGAAATATATCCCAAGTAAATTCAGTCAAAAATCAATAAAATTGACAGTTAGAATAAAAAATAAACGAGAAAAAGAATTCATAAAAATAACAAAATAATGTATAACTTCTCTACTCCACCAAATCGGTAATTTTTCAGTGGTACATAATTTCAGTATATCATCGTCAACAAAAAAACAAGGTGATAACCAAAACCACAACTACTTAGTCCAGCCCAATGTGAACGGTGCCAGTGACTAGTGTAAATGCTAAATGATTAATTTCTCTCAGTCATGCAATTTACTGAAAGAATAATTTATAACACGAAGTTCACAGAAAACATCTGTCTCGATTGAAACGGGTATTCAAGCATCAAAATCGAATTTCCCTTGATATTACCTTCATCTCCACTAGAACTCGTCGCATTCATTGCCAGTTTGAAAGTCAGTTCTATAAAGTAAAGAGAAACATTATTATCACGTAATCGCACGTAAATTTTCCTAGTGACAACAATCCATACCTCCGCATTTCTTCTGAAGTTTATTGATCTCGGCGTACAGCCCTTGTAATGTTTTTGCGTGTTCTTGCTGCATAAAAAGGATAGAACTTTCAGCATTTTGAAGCTGTACACGAGCCTGAGCCAGAGTTCCAGTCATTCTAATACTTCTCTGTGTGGTAAGTTGCGATCAAGCACAGATAACAGGAGGTAAAACCAAACCCCTTCCCTTGGTCGACCATGTATTCCAATATGGCTGCTTCGCCGTTGCCACGAGCAGCAGAACAAAATATCTCTTGGCAAACCGGTTTCGTCACAATAGTTCTTACGTCATTACTAAGCAATAGAAGAAGACTTCTCATTGGTGATATTTTACCAAGTTTAGCCAATCATAAATAATCATCTATTTGCATCATCATAAGAAGGCGTGGTGCCCAAGTCCCAGGCGGGAAACAGAATTTGGGTGAGTACTTAATGTAAGACTACGTATAATGTCCCGAGAAT